AACTCATATTCAATGATGACATAAAAATCCAGTCTTTCTCTTTGCCTGAGATTTCTGTTTATCTCCACTGATACCCATGCATATGCCATAAAATTAGCACTTTTCCTTAGGAAAAGACTAGTATTGCAGGAACAAGGGGTTGCTGAGTTGCACAAGGAGAAATGATTCATCATGCTTTTGTGGTGCATTATGCTGATGTTGTCACTTACATGCTTTCAAAATTATTATATTTGCTCATATAATTGAGAGGGAAGAAAAGGTGCTGCTAAATTCAAAAAGTCATGGCAAGAAACCGTGAAAATTTGGCACAGAGGTGCTTTTTTCAGGAAGGGGATAGGCTAGGGTATTGTTTTCGGTTCTCTCAGGTACTTTGCAAATCAATCACTGATCCTAGAGATAGCTTTCAAACATAGTGTTTACATACAGAATCATAGAATAATATAGGTCAGAAAAGACCTTTAAGGTCATGAAGTCCAACCATTAACCCAGCATTGCCAAGTCCACGGCTAACCATATCCCCACTTGCCCTGTGTGAAAGACATAAGACAAATAACTAAAAGCTTGGTGGTTCCCTGAAAACTTAGAGAAATCCTTCTGAAAGTTGGAAACACTTCTCTTGCTTCTTCTCCATTTATTAAAAATTTCAGAACATGATGACAATAAGCTCTTAACATCAATCAAAGCTAGAAACCACAGCTGAAGACGGCCTCCTCATCTTGTTTGCTTTGTTACTGTCGGTATGCAGGCAGCCTTCTACTTGGAGTATCTAATAGCCTTGCTTCCAAACTGTTGCATTGCCACAGCTTTCTGTGTGTGATAAATAAAGGCTCAATGCTCTTCATTTATTGTTTTCGGGTATAGGCAAGGCAGGGAAAGCAGTGTCAGGCAGATTGGTGTGGGAGAGGAGCATCTGCTGCTGGAGGGTATTTAGCTTCCTGTGAAGCAATCTGAGCTTCCCAGCCTGGCTTCTCTTCTCTCACAAGCACTGCTTTCTGAAAGTCACGACCTGTTGCAAAGTTCCTTTGTCAAGCACGGTAAAAACCGGAAATGCTGCTTCTTGTAACGCCAATTAATGGCAGAATCTGTCCAGCTAGGACAAGCATTTTGCAATCTGTCTTCTGAAGTTCAGTGGCTGGGGGATGGGATGGGAAGGTCCTCCTTTTAAAAACGTTGCTCCATGAATCAATTACCTTTTTTTTTTTTTTTTTTTAATTGTCAGTGGAATGTGACACACCACAAATATTGTGCTCTGGTGTTTGAACAACTGAACACCCAAACCCTGAAGTCCCTGTCAACACCCTGCTGCTGTTGGTAAGGAGGCTGTGCAGCAAGCAACTGCCCAAAGGGATTGTCTTTTCACTTACACTCTTGGGCTCACTGCCAGCTCCTGTTTCCTCTAGCAGTATATGGAGCGAGAGAAAGCATCCTCTCTCAGAGACTCAAGCATGTGAAAAGAAGATTTCACATGTGAAACTGAGACCTGGAAAACAATCACTTGGCTTCTCTTCCTTTAATTTATTTTCCATATGATCGAGAAATTCGCATATAGAATTTATTTTTAGGTTACTAGTCATTTTATGTGCCTGGGATCCCATTATTAATAATAAGTTGAGATGGGAATTAATCTTGGGTGCTTTATCACATGACATTTCATGTTCCCGTAATTACTTTTCTTTAATAAATGCATAAAGTCTGTGACAAAATTAGCTTAAGGTTAGAAGATTTGTGCTCCTGATCATGTTTCAGAACATTCTTCAAATAGAGTTCAAGGAAAAGCCCACTGAAGTCAATTTGAGATACAGACACTTCTGGTATCTGCTATTATCTAATTAAGTCCCTGTTACATGGCCTTGAGCAAGTCTTTTATCACCACAGTTAAGCAAACACGATCAGTACATACTTACCTGAAAAAGGAATGTTCATGTTTTTTTAGAAGGCTTCAAACTTGAACATACAAATGAGATGCAAGAACTATGGTTTCCCACTTGCTACCTTTCCTACAATGTGAATTTCCTAGAAGGCAAGAAAGAACTTGCTGCCTTGCCCTAATTCAAACCCTCAAAGGTGTTGGTTGAAAACTATGCTATCGAGGGTCCAATTTCCTTCTTGCAAATGGAATCAGCAATGTCCTGAAAAGTGCTCTCCTTTAACATGCAAACGACTTAGAGAGTGCATGTCTAGCAGGGTGCTAAAACGCCAAATATTTGTTGACTTTTTCTTTTTTAAAACCATCACAATAAAACAACACTAAAAAAATAAACAATAGGCTCATTAAGTATGCCTAAGCGACCTATGCTTTTACAACATGTGGCCTGGGACATTTACTGAGGATGTCAGCTCTGCCACATCCAAGTGCGTTTTTGAGTTTGTTATCCTCAGAAATTACTGGGACAGTCTTGTATGAACATGTACCTTCCTTGCATTCTCCAAATAGCACCAAACAGAAGCAAACATAAAAGGACGTGGAGATATGCAATTTCTATGGCCATACCACTAATGCAAACTGCTATAAAGAGGATTTTTTAACAGAAATTAGCGTACGTTCTGCCACTGAAACGCAATAACCTTCATTTTGCTTCAGCAGAATGATATTGCCTTCACATACATAGTAAACAGCAGACAAAACAGCAACAGTGTAAATCTTTCATTTGTCACTGTCTCTCAGAACTATAATTGAATCTAAGCTCAGCAGAGGATCCTAGTTTGCAGATAGCAGGAAAACTCCATCTAAGCCTGTGGCTTACACTGATTTAGGGGATCCATGGCTCTGTCCCAAAATGAGCAAAAGCAAAAGAAGGCAGTGTTGCTACTGGACAAGCAGTTTCTGAAAAAAACCAGACCCCAGTCATGCAAATATTTGCTGTTCTTTAATTTCAGGAGCACATTTCCTGCACTGAGATCAGAGAAATACTGATTTGCTCAAATACATTGGTGAGCAACTAGAGCAGCCACAGAGAACAATTCTAAAGAATATTTTTATTAAATTTACTCTCACTTAAAATGCAGAAAAATCTTTGGCAAAACTGGAAAGTCTGAGACTGCAACGCCACTGGGGATGTTTATGAACCGATCATCAGGGAAATTTCACAATTCCTTGTCATGGGGTTCAATGCTCAAAAAGCGACAAAGCAGTAGAAGGCCATAAACTCATTTTACAGAACTTGCTCAAAAGCTTGCAGAGTTAGCTGGTATATAACACAGAGGATACCTTGGGAACACTTTTAATGCCATTACTATGAAAATCTGTAAATATCCCCAAAATATATGATATATTCCTTGTAATTTCTTTCCTAAGTGTTTCCTTTGGCCTTCCATCTTGCGCAGTTCCTGGCTCACACCACATTCTGTTTTGGAGAAGCTCATGGACTACAGGAGGAAAGCAGACTTCGTATACCACACCTCCAAATGCAGAGAGCTTGGCTTTAGGAAGACTGTGGGCTGATTTGAACTCCTAGTTCACTACAGAAGGTATTATTTGGATTACCATGGGGACAAGATTTTACCTCCTTGAAAACACAGCTCTGGAAATACTATGAAAAATAGCCAGAAAAGAAGGAGGGGGCAGCCACGAAACAGAGAAAGCAGCATCCCCAGGGAATTTATTGAAATATATTTATAGTTTTCCTTGCATGTATTAATACTGTTTGTGACTCAGGGCTTTTAATTAACCAGCAATCTCCCTCACATCGGACACCCTGCTGGAGGGAAGGGAGCAGGAAGTGATATGTTCCATGGTTTCCATTCAGATGTCCCAGAAGTGGCAGAAATTAAGTGAATTCCCAAACGCTTAGTCCTTTGCCCCCATACGCCTGCCTCTGTGCCCTCTCACACCCCGAAAGCAAGCGCGCCTCCGCTCCCCTTGAAGATCTGTTGCCAGACAAAGGCACAGAGATTTCCCTGACTCTTGTCACTCAGCCACACGCACACGCACACATACACCCCCCGGCGTCTCTCGACTCTCTCACGTGAATAATTCAGTTCATTCCCTGATGCGGCAATTGCAGAAACAGGAATCACGCTTCCTATACACTCCTTTCTTCTGCCCCCTCCCCTATAGCAGCTGCCCACCTAGCCAGATGATGCTGGGGTTGGGACCGATTGCTGCTCGGGGCTGCCAGTTTGAATCTCCTAGTCCGAGGGGGCCGCTGAGCAGATTTGGAGTCCCGCAGAGGGAGCTGGCAGCAGCCCTGGCCTAACCACGGGCCCCCACGGCCCCATCCTCGGCCCCCAGCCCTGTCCTGGCCCTCCTTCCCGAGGCAAAGGCGGGCAGGGCCGAGCGGGCGGTGCTTGGCCGGGGCCGGGCTGGGAGGCAGGGCCCGGCAGCATCTGGCCGGAGCCATTGTCTGCTGGCCCGACACCAAAGCCTGGCTGGGGGAGTTTGTGGGGTGGTTCTCTTTTCCCCCTGCAACCGGGTTGCAGGGCCAGCAGCACTGGGATTTTCCTCTCCTTGCATCAGGAATGCAAAGGCAGCGGGGGAATGGGGACGGGGGCGTGGGGCGCACTAACGGTAGATGCCGGAGCTGAAGGGAACCAGGTTTCGGCTTTTCCTTCTAAATGACGAAATTTCAGTAAGGTTATCAGCGAGATGATATTGCTCAACCAGGAGAGCGAGACGCAGGGAGCTGGCGCACAACCACCGCACGGCTCCAGCCAAGCACAGCCTTCCACCACTGCGGGAGGCGGCTGGCGGCTGTCCCTGCCCCCTCCTCAGCCCCGGTCCCCCTGCCTCTGTCCCGGTCTCGGCCCCGAACGCCTACCAAGGCCAGGGCGGGGGTCGGGGAGCCAGGGGCAGCGGCCGCCCACCCACAACCCGGCCCTCCCTGGGGGTGCCTCCCCGTCGGCCGGGGCCGGGGCAGGGACCGTGGAGACCGGGGCGATGTTGGGCTGTAAGCCGAGCTGTAAGCTGTGGGTATGCGTCTGTATGTGTGTGTGTGTAGCTTTGTGTGCGTGTACGCGTGTGCGCGGGGAGGAGGAGGGCTGGGCGCTGAAGGGAGGGCAAGGAAGCAAGGGGAAAAAAAAGAGAGAGAGAGAGAAAGGCGGAAAGCGGCAAAATGGGTAGCGGGTGACATCACCGTCATTTGCATAGGCGCGGGGATAAAACCGCCCCGCCAGCGAGCCGTCTTTATACTGGCGTGCGGATCGGCGGCAGCAGCGAGCGGCGGGGCTGAGCATCACCGCGCGGCGACACCGGTGGGTCCCGCCGCACCCCCTCCAACCACCCCCCCTCCCCCGGGTCTCAGCGCGGGCTCCTGCCCGGCATCCCCGCCGCGAGGGCACGGCGGGCAGGGCAGGGCAGGGCAGGGCGTGGGGACTGTTGTCCGGGGGGCTGGGAGGGAGGGGTCCATTGTCCGCGTGGGGGTATTGTCTGAAGGCGCGCAGGGCGGTGGCATGCGAGGCGCAAGCCGGCTTTGTTGCCGTCCCAGGGCTTTATTTTTTAATTATTTTTCCCTGAACGAGTTAAAAACGCGGTCAGCGCTGGGCACGTCCCCTCTATTGTACTCCGCAGAGCGCAGATTCTGGGAGCTGCTCCCGGCGGCGGCTGGCCGCGGGCTGCACCGCCTTGGATGCTGGATTAAACGGACACTTTAAAATTACTATTTTTTAATACGTCGAACGGTGAAGCGTTTTATTTTCGGCGTGCTTGAGCGTGCGGGTCCCGCGGGTCCCCGCGTTGGGCGCGGCGGGCGCGGCCCCGCAGGGGCGCCTTGGGAGCGGGGAGCCCTTGCTGGGGGTAACGGGTTGTTCCCCTCCACACGCAGAGTCACCTGCCAACATGTCCGACAAACCAGACATGGCTGAGATCGAGAAATTTGACAAGTCCAAATTGAAGAAGACAGAGACGCAAGAGAAAAACCCGCTGCCTTCAAAAGAAAGTGAGTGCGGGAAGGCAGGGAGGGAGACAGGGAAGGAGGGAGACGGGCAGGGAGGGATGGAGGGAGGGAGGCGGGAGGAGACAAAGAGGGGCGGCAGGCGGGGAGCTGGGGGTGCGGCGGGTGCGGGGTGGAGGGAGGATACACGGCTGTGTCAATGCCAGACAGCGAAAACCTGCACCCACCGCCTAGCAGCACTTAATTTACAATTATTTACATCCTGTTTTGATCTGTAGCTAAGAATATACCTATATTATAGCAATTTAGAGCAATTGTCATGTGAATGCATTTGATGTTCCCGATCTTCATTTTTTTCCTCTTCTTTTCTGTTTTTTCTCCTTTTTAGCAATTGAACAGGAGAAGCAAGCGGGTGAATCGTAATGAAATCTGCCCTTCCAAATTATGCACTGTACATTCCACAAGCATTGCCTTCTTATTTTACTTCTTTTAGCTGTTTAACTTTGTAAGATGCAAAGAGGTTGGATAAAGTTTAAAATGACTGTACTGCCCCTTTCACATCAAAAGAATAGAGAGAACTACTGACACTGAATGAAGGCGCTGCCTTTCCCTCTGCCTGTCTGGCTTTGGTCCTGGTGGCATGAAAGAGCTTGCATGTTGATGAAAGAAGAACTTGGGAGGGACTACAGTAAACTAGAGTAACACACGAATAAATGCAAAGCTGTACCAAGGTCCTGCGAGCTGTAAAATGCAGTTAATCGAGTGCCATTTTTTTTTTTTTTGTTCAAATGATTTTAATTATTGGAATGCACAATTTTTTTAATATGCAAATAAAATGTTTTAAAACCTGGATGGTATTTATGTCCTCTCTTTGGAGAACTGTATCAATGGATATGAAGCATAAAAGCCGGTACTGAGACATGGGATACTATAAAACGTTTGGAGATGCCTCAAACCTCAGTCATCGTTCTCATTTTTTTCAATATTTGTGCTCACCAATAGATAAATTTGTGGTCTGTGAAGCTAGCTTTTAGACAGATTTCAGTAAAAATTGTATATCTTATAATTTTTTACCATGTGAGTATATCACTTTAAATATTTCTTTAATGTAGAGATTGATAAAAAAAAAATCCGGCTATGTTTATTGCTTTGCCCCACCCATAGCATAGCTCTTTTATTGAGAGCCATTCTTTACTGTTGCAGAAATTCAGCCTCGGTTGTATAAAACCATAATTAGTTTAATAATTAAGGCTTGTTATTTTGATACAGTATTTAAAGGAAGATGTAACTTGAATTTTTAGTCTAAGGTTAAAAATAAGCTTTTTAGTTTCTCAAAGCTATTTTAGTGGGTCATGTCCCATGCAAATAAAAATAGTTTTGCTACAATGTTACTAATGTTTTGAACAACATTTTTTAATCTTTTAACATCTACTTAATCCTAAGAACTACTATCAGTAAAAAGCTACAGTTTCTTTAATAATTCAAAACTTACCATTTGGGAACAAAAACATCGTGGTAACTTAATAAAGATAATAAATCTGATATGCACATTATCACACTCCACATTGCTGATTTATGGCAATTCTTTCAGGCCTGGGACAGTTTTTGCTTATTTTTCCGCAAATGACAGTGCTTAAAACCTGTTATCCAGGGAGATCAGTAGGAGTTGACTTTAGTAGTCATGAATTTCATCAGAGTGAAGTGACTAATGAACATTCGGGGAAAAAAAATGCTGTCAGATAACCTGTAGGAGGGTGGTAAGCATGCTTCTGCAGTGCCTTAGTTTTATCTTAAGGACTTCAGGCTGCATTAATTTCAGCCAGTTCCTATAAAGCAAAATTAGTCCCTCTGGGGAAGTTTGGGTTTTGCTGAGGCTGCTGACTTGGCAGGGTCATTTAGATTTGGGGTTTCGTCCTGCTCCCTAACAGCATCTGACTGCAGCAACAAACTCCTTGGTTTTACACCATTGAGGACAGTGGAGTTCCTCTCCTTGGAGGTTTGGTGATGTCCGTGCTTCTGGAGAAGGTGGAAGATGGATGGGTGGGGTGCCACGCGCTTGCAGGCACAGTCTACAGCCCCCCATCAGTGGAAAACTTGCCTAATTGTGTCTTTGATGAGAATCTTGGTTCACACATGAGATTTTTTGATGCAGTTCGTGGGAAGATTTGGGAAGTCCTGGTGGCATAAGCATCCCCACAGTAATTTAAGCTGATGAGTTCAGGAATGAAATGAACCATTTCCTTTTCTTAAGGTTTCATTTTATTCCCCATGTATAATGGGAAAGACACAGGAAGCTTACAGCTGAGCTTCTGAAAATTCAATTAATCAACTCCCAGCCACTGATCTTAATCAGCTAACATGGGATGTGACATGACTAGGTTCAGAAGCATACAGTCTGAACTGCACGTGCGCAAATGACTAGAAGCGAGCACTTGCCTAATGTGAGTTCATCTATGGGAAAAATACCAATATATTTCTGAGAGAGGCAAAGCTCTACATAAGTCAATGCAAGTGCATACTGTAATACAGCATAGTTCAGCAAAACTAAAATAATGAGATATGATGCCTCTGACTTAAGAACTGCAAGTCCAAACTGATCAGTGCTGGCCAAACGATACCACAATCCGCAGTGTGAGGTGGTGAGACTCAGATCTGCTTGCAGGAGATAGGGCAATAAGCTACGACTTTGGTTATAGAAGCTCTGTTTCTGGCATCAGGGACTGAATATAATACAAAATCAACTGGAAAGTAAATCTTCCAGGTCAAATTCAGGAATTATCGGACTCTATCATCCAATAGATGCTTTGCTCTTTGCTCAGCTGTTTGCATACATTCAAAGAAAATTGTGGCAGGTCTTTGCCATGCTTTACATAGGCAGTATAGAGGAGGTCACATCTGACACCAACTTCACAGCAATGCAATTCATGGCATGAAACATGGAGACTCAGATAGATCAATTGTAATACTCACAACTGTGTCATTGGCTGTGGCTGTTAAAGGAGATCAATCTTTTCAGCTGTCAGTCTAGAAACTTTCATCAGCCACAAATTGACTAGAAAAAAAGGAAATACAGCCCAAAACCTGGTTATGAAGAAGGGTCATCAGAAACAGAAAGGCACATATGGTTTTTGATCTTGCACGCTGTGCAGGCACACTGTGCCAGCCCTGCAAGACTTACAGTGTCTGGTGTTGCTGCCTCCCCGCCCCCAGCATAGAGGCAGCTCCGCCGAGAGCCGAGACAACGTGGTGAATAGCTCTGCCCTCCAGCACTGAGCCAAATTCTTCCTTTCTCAGTATTTAAGGAAAGATTTTCTCTCCATTTCATGCACCTCCTCAGATATCATTAACTATACATATATTGTACAGAAAGCATATGCTAACCATATCCAAAATAGCTCACTGTGGTATTAATTACAGATATGTGGAGACTTCAATGCAAGCATTTGAGTCTTCTAGGCTATTTTTGTGCAATGTTGAATGTGTGATAAAACACCACTTCCCCTAGTAACCCTTTACTTCCCTAGAAACAGTGTAGAAATGAGCAGTTCCTATTGTGTATTGTGATCATATATGGCTGCCACATCTGCTGTGCAGCAGAATTTTATTAATAAGGAACTGTGCGCCACTCCAATCATCATATAAAACACAAGGAGCACATAATACAGTCTTCAGTGCAATAATTCCACTGGGCTGATACTAAAAGGGGTATGAAGAACTAATAAATGCAGCTCACGCTTATTCGTTGATATACAGTAGGATGACAATGCAAAGCAACCTATGTCAGGTTTGGCCTTCCGTGAGATCATCTGATTCACCAGCTTTGTGCATTTTCAATTCAACAGGCAACTGGATTCTAATAAAATGGGCTATTTTGTTAATTCAGAGAAAGGGAATTACAGGTGATGTTTATCAATTATTTCTACGCTGTCTAGCAGACTCATTTGCTACTGATCCTGTGATATGGTGATTGTTTTTTTTAAAGCCCTGTGCTTTACCATACACCTATTTCAAAATTCTGTGACTTAATGACAAGAAAGAGCCCATTTTTCTCTCTGTTTTCAGCTGAAGTTAATTACCTGAATTCCAGTATTGTTTTTACCAGGTTTTTAAAATGTCAGATCCCTCTCTGACTTCCTCTTCTTTCTGCTTAGGAAAAAAAAAAAAAATCAAACACAGTGAGTTCTAAGAGATGTTTGATTTTGCCTCTGGGTTAATGAGCTTTTAGCATATTGGGAGCAGAGCAAAGATAATTTTTTTTCTCTTGTTTCTACAGTCAAGAGGACTACAACATTGTTTTCTTTCTTGTAATCAAAAGCTGGGATTCTCATGAGATTTTTCAGTCTCCTGGAGCTTGGGCTTTATGAAAACTGTCAAGTACAACATGATTCATGCAATGTAATGAGAATTGGCAACAAGGAGATTTTGCAAACACTACTTCCTCACAAAAAATGGAGGTTGATGGCAAAGCAGAGTCAAATATAGGACCATAGCCTTAGTTTCAGGCCGTAATATGAAAAAATGACAATAAGATGAGTAAATATCTTTTTTTTAGAAATTTAACTCAGAATTCCTATGGCTTCAAGTTTTCTGATTGCCCTGGATTTATTTTTTGCCTAACAAAATTGCTTTTTCTTTCAGCAATATTTTGGAAATGAATCAGTGGATTTACTTCAATTTAAATATATTTCCAGCATTTGAATAGTCCCCAAATATTCACCATGGCCAATCAAAACATCTTCTTGAAAAAAAATCATTACATTGACCAAAGGCTTTTTGATGATGAAGAAACTTTTCCCCACTCTTGTAATTCTCATCATTTTTTTCTTTGTCATGTGGTCAAGGGCCTGAAATTTGGTTCTGGAAACAATCTCATGAGACTTTATAGACATTGCAGATTCCATGAACAGTCATTTGCAGTGCTGTTTGTTTGCATATTATGGATGAATATTGAGTACACTTACAACACTTAGAGATCTGTTTAAAAATGAAAAAAAAATCCTCAAAAAGTCAAACCAAAAAAACCCAAACAAATACCAAACCAAGAAAAGGAATGCATTTGCATCTTCTATAATATTTGCCATGAATAATTTATTTATCCCTAGTATCTTCTAGTGGTTTGAAACTAGAGCAGCAACATTCACATCTCCAAAATAATACAGATGAACTCATTGAAATCTACTTCTCTCTAGACCAAAAGTATGAAATTCAGGCTCTCAGATGGTTCAAATCTTACCTAACATATTTTAGAAAATTCTGTAGATTTTACCTTGTGGTTTATTTCCTATAATGATGCTTCTATTCCATCTGACCATATATGATACGGTTTATATTACTCAGGTATAGTATTTTAAAATGCTCTGACAAATATGTCTTCAAACCATCACTTGAAGTTTTGTAATTTATCTTTAAGGCCCTCTGCACAGCTAGATTTTGATTCAGGATAATATAGAGAATTTTGAAGCTACATAATAATGAGTAAAATCACTTGCTGGATTAATTTTTCATGCATCTTTGTTCACCTCACTTGCGGTGTAAGAAAATTGAGCCAACTGAGGGGTATTCTTCATCCTTCCCCCTAAACTGGGCATGACCTCTCAGAAATGCCAGTGACCCACTGTGCAGTGGGAATAGAAAAGTCCACTACTTGCACTGCACCTTTTTCTTAGTGTTTAATGAGAGCAACTAGAGGTGAGGAAAAGGACACCACTGCAAAATGGCATCTTCAAACAGGAAAGTAGACATGGCCCTGAGGATCTACACTGCCAAAGTGGAAACCAGAATACTGAGCACCTTCCAGGCTCACACCAGGTTTATTCACACAGTTTTGGGTTCTTGTGAAGAGGGACCATA